GGAACTTCTACTTATTACACAGATTATTTTCAGACACAAAGATGGTGCAATACCTGCTAATTGTGCAGCTCGAACAGGAGTGCATTAACTCTTCAAATACTGGGCAGTGATTATATTGCATCATTTATTCACGTTTGTTCAGGCAACACTTATATTTCAAGCTGTGCTGCACCTTGCTGTGTTTCTATTCATTTCTTGTGTGTGTGTGTGTGTGTGTGTGTGTGTGTGTGTGTGTGTGTCAGAGAGGAGAAAGTGGTGGTCACAGTCGGCTGCCTGAGGTGACTGCTGGGGTCAAAGGTCAGGCTGTGTTAATAAGACGTGATGTGCTGCCCTGGGACCGCCGTCCCATGAGGGATAACCCCCTAATCGGCATTAGTTAATGTGTTAGTAATCTTTACCTTCTTAAAGCAAACAGAAGTGCTGCATTCAATGGGCCCGCTTGGCCTCCCGTGTAACGCTTTTGACCCCGGGGTCATGGCCTTTGTTCCCCGCTCGATGGGGAGTGCCCTCAAAGGTCTCGGGTGTAATAGAGAAGTTGTTTAGACACGTGCGGGGCTTAAGCAAGACCACCTCATAGACTCCACTCCTGCTCCTGGAGAGTAAAACATCTCCCCTCGCAGCGCAGGGAGACATTAGTGGTTTTATCCCCTGGAATAAGCCTATTAGAAGATATATGTGTTTTTATCGTGTCTCATATGTGGCTGTAGTGGTGGTTGCTGACCAAGCACAGAACCCCCCCTCCCCCCNNCAAACCTCCTAATGCCTCCTTGATGTTTGCAAATGACTAAGAGCAAATACTGTGTGTCTTTACAGATCCCCTGCCCACTGCAGTTTCTTATTCCTCCAGCTCTCTTTACTGTTTCCTGTAGCTGTGGAAAGGAAGCCATAGAGAAGCAGTGTCTTTAAACTGTGTCCTTGTTCGGTCCCCTTATCTGAACTTTCTGTCACAGTGTTTGACTCACACTTAGATATGTGTTTAGTGTGTTTTCCTGTCAGCAGCAGACCACAGCACGGTATGATTTTATCAGTGCGAGAGGGAAAGTTCATTGCAGGCCCTGATAATCATGTGATCATTATTGGATAATGAATCAAAATGTATTTTACAAAAGTCCAATACATGCAAAAACATTTATATTATTATTCAATTTAGTTCTTCAAAGTATTTTAAACATGTATTAAACTATGTAATATTATCAAAAAAAATAACATACATTTTAAATTAAAATCAGCAAAAGGGTTTAGAGTTTTCTTCAGAGTAAAATTACGTTGGGCAGAGTCCATAACATGGCGCCGTCTGCCATTTTGTTTCACATCATACTCTGAATTGGCCTGATTGATTCTGTATCACACAGATGTTGCAGCCATGCACTGCAGAGGGAAAGCTGTGGCTTCTCTTTACCCGAAATGATATAAACCGAAGAGCAATTAAAATTCTGTGGCATTGTAAATATTCTCCAAACGATCGTATTTGAACAATTAATCAGGAAAAGATCAGGGTGGTAGTGAAAAGAAATGAAAAATGAAAGGTTTGCACAATGGATTTAATCAGAAACCGATAAATCATTTGGGAAATTCTGCCTTGGTTGCGATAATGTTGTAAATTAGGGCCGTAAAAATTAAAAGATGATTAATTGTTTTTAAAACGCATCCTAAAAGCTTTGTGAAGGAGCCCAGTGGGGAGAGATGGCTCGAAACCCGAAACAAAAACGTTATCCTCCGATGGTCTTTATGCCATGCAAAGTGCTTACTAAGCATAAACACACAAAGTATGCTTCCCCAGAACAGCTAATGCTTGGACCTCTAACATATTCTGTTTCAGGATCCACATTAATTCCCAAATAAGGTCTGAAAATATACTGTACATATTCCAGCTTTTTACATTGAAGCCATAATGAAGTCATGGCCTTCTCAATTGGTTAAAACGCATGGCGAGATGTGACGTACAGCTGCACTCCTTCTAATGGGATCCTATAGCTCATGCCAATGTTAGATGCCTGGACCGGGCTCATATCTCATTTAGGGAAGGGGAAAAAGAAATCGCAGTCCAGCCTTCTTTCTGCAGCAAGTTAGTGTAAATAATGCATTTTCTGTCTTCTGTGTTCAGCCACCTGTGTTTGTCCTGAAACCTGTGGAGCAAAGAGAAGTGTGGGGAATAGAGCCGGAGAGGAACGGGGAGGCAGCGGTGCTATGAAAGCAGCCCTCACGAAACTGAGCAGCCCCAAGCAGTAGCAGCCATGTTAGACGGATCTGCTGCAGCCCCACTAATAATTCAGTGCCCCCTTAAAACCAACAGAAAGTTTTCACAGTGTAAAAGTAAGAAAAGTTAAACCCCCACCTTTTTTCTTTCATTGTCTCTGCTAGGCATGAAGTCCCCTCTTTAATTCTCAGCAGTTTATGAAAAGAGTTCCTCAGTAACAGACAAACTTTACATATCTCCTTCCTCCTTTTCTTTTCTTATAAAGCTCCTGCAGTTCAAGGCCGAGGGGGGAAAAAGTTTGAAGCCACGAGCTCTGCTTTTGCAGATTTTTTTTAGAACCCGTGCCAAAAGAGGCAGGAAGTTGTTGTACAATAGCGTTACAGTAATCTGCCACAAATGGAAAAAGCCAAATGCTGATCGCAGAGCGGAGAAGGTGGCAGAACACAGGCAGAAAAAAGGGAGGGAGGGACAGAAAGGGAGAGAAAGAGAGCTAGCGTGTGTGAGAGAGACAGCAAAGAATAATCAATACAATCTAAGATGGTGGAAACGGCCATGCTGTTTGAGTCTCCCCCTCCACTTAACTCTCTGGCTTCCTCACTCTTCATGTAAATTCGTGCAAACATTTCGGTTAAGATCATTTATTTGGACAATCCTATTTTGGGTTTTTTAGCATTTTCGCATCTCTGGGGGTTTCTCAAATTTTTCTCAGAACTGTTGAATGCATTTTACCGGGCAAGTGGCAGCTGTTTTTCCTCCAGGAAAAAGCAGCGAAGTCTCACCCAAAAATGCTTATCAGCCTCTTGACTTTGTGCCAAAATAGCTGCGAGGGTTCAGCTGCAGCGCGCTTTGTGACAGAGCCGGGGCAAAGAGGAGGGTCCTAGCCCCCCGTTCTTCGCCACATGTTACTGAAATAAACACTGTGGAAGCTTATCTTTTTCCTGTGTGTGTGTGTGTGTGTGTGTGTGCATTCACGCTAGTCACTGTGGCATGCTAAAGAGTTAATGCACTCCGAGAGTGTGTGCTCCTTTCAGAGTGTGCTCCCAAGACTGTTCCAGCGACAAAAGCCCCGCTACAGTAAGAGATACGGTTAATAATTCAACCTGCTCTCAAAAGTGCTGAATATTTCAAGGATCCTTCAGCGGGGCAGTCCATTCTGAGAGACTGTGAATCTCTGTTTCCCCGATTTTCTCTTCACCAGCTGAGGTAGTGTATAGTGTATCCCAGTATGGCGTGGAAGTGTGTGTGCACTGCGTCTGCGCACGGCTGGAGGAGTGGATTTCTGTGTCATTCTTCCTCCTCCACCCCTCCCACAGTTAATGCTTTCCACCCTCCCACTCCCCCCCCTCTCTCTCTCTCTCTCTCTCTGTGTCTCCGTCTCCCACCCATCTTATGCTCCCTCCCTCCCTTCTCCCCAGTCTCCGGTGCAAATACAGTTCCTTGCCGTGTTGGACATGTGATGAAAAAGTGGCTGGTTCGCGCGCTCCGCCGCACCTCCTATTTCATCATCAGCAGAGCATTTCTCCCCTTCACTGTGCGCTGGCTGTCTCCTCCTCTCTTCCTCCCTCTCTCCCCACTTCTTTTTCTCTCTCTGTTTCGCCTGCTCCCCTCTTTCTGCTCCAGCCACACGCAAGGGGGAGACTTAAGCTCTGCGAGGGGGAAAAAAAGAAAAAAAGTCTGCTGCTATTTCTCCAGTCAGGGCCTCCCCACAGCCCGCCCTTCCATAGACGGAGATCTTTTTTCACTCACTACTAGCTGGATGTTAACCCTCTGCACAGCAGCTCTGCAAAACCTGGCAACAAGTTGCTTTTTATGGGCCTTTTCGCACTTTTGCCGCATAGATTTTGCGTCCCTTTGGATTTGTTTCTTCTGTTCTTTTTTATGTTGTGTTCTTTAAAGTGCATCGAGTCTGCCTTATTCCTTCCCCGCTGATGGGTTCCGAGTAGTATTTATTTAGTTTCTTTCTTTTCGGATGGGGATTTGTCAAGGTGGTGTTTCGCCATGTGATGGGCCTTGTTCCACCTGGAGTGTCGGGGCGCCATTTCTGACGGGTAACCTGCGTGGAGTTGGCTCGTGGTCTGAATGACCACTGCGGATGACAAGCATAAAATGTGAGCAGTATTTAAGAGCGGTCCTCGTCTGTTTTAAAGACATGTCCTTCTTCAGCGACTGGCGTGAAGTATCGCACCTCCTTCCTCTTTACTCCCTGTGTCTCCTTCTCTTTCCTTCCCATGTCCTCTCTGTGTCTCCCTCTCGCTCCCCCTTGTTCTCTCTCTTTCACACCGACTCGCTCTCCTAACAGCAGAGTGGTGTGCTGAGCCGGAGCTCTTTCTGGGACAAGTGCCAACTGCAAAGAAAAGACATTAAAAGGCAATAAGACAAAAAAAATGTAGTAATTCCGAAATGTTAAATTGTTGCAGCGAAGCGTCCGAAGTAACCCTTCATGTCGCCTCTCTCCACATCCACCTGTGCTATTATTGCATGTTTGTATAAAGTATTAAAAGTAATGTTTGCGGACCAAGGCTGCCGGTATAGCAGAGGTTTGAATACTTTGCCACACTTTTTCTAGTGAAGGCATTTCACTCGGGAAGAGGGAGGGAGAAATGTGGGAGAGCAGCATATAGACTGCTGAATTATTCATGTGGCCAGCCAAGGCTGTGACTGGACTGGTTGTACTATTTGCATGCATCAGACATGCTGTTTGTCTGTTTGCTAACATTCCTCATTGAAAGACTTGTTAACTAGCAGACGGGCTAAGCTAGAGCCTTGCAGACAGCCTCATGGCCTCCTATTGTTTCAGGCCCGT